GGTGAAACGGCCGAGGAGGAGTCGCTTTCCAACCGACATGTATGAAAACTTTTGCTGTTCATTTTTCCATTTTGCAGTGAAATTTATGGGCTTCCTGTTTGTCAGGGGGCGGGGCCATAATAATATTTTTTTCTTGTCTTGACTTGAGTAACATGTGTACCGAATTTCATGGCTCTACGACAAACTTGATCTCTAAAAGTCCCATAGGGGTATTATTTTGGCTGTTGTAGGTGGCGCTGTTCCGGCATTTTTTGAGTCCCATTAAAATAAACACCAAAATATCAAATTTTTCGCCAGGTCTGATTTTTGGGCAAAATTTAACAACTTTTCATGCATGTTCAGGGGGTCAAATTAAGGCTCAAAGTGCAGAAGAAAAAAGAAAGAAAGAAAGAAAGAAAGAAAGAAATAAATTAAAGCCGCAAGCGGCGTCGAACGGCCCTCGCCGCACCGCGCAACTCCCCGCACCACGCACACCCCCCGCGACGCGCGCACCACCCCGTGCCAAGCCACCCCGCACCACGCCGTCCCGCACCACGCCGTCCCGCACCACGCCGCCCCGCACCAAGCCGCCCCGCACCAAGCCGCCCCGCACCAAGCCGCCCCGCACCAAGACTCAACGCGCCGCTCCACAACGCCCCGCACTTTGCTGCACCACACCGTACCACGCAGCACCGCTCAAAGGAGGTGGCGCCGCCGTGTGATGATTTGTTCCCGTAGCCATAGAAGATTGTTGGTCAAATTGTAATGAATATGATAAGTAGAGCTGGTTTGGCTCCCCATGTAAACTTTGACTCAGTCTTTAGGGGGCGCTAACGGGCCAATTTCAAATATTTCACTTTCACCTGACCTAAACCCTGGAGTTGAACAATGGATTCAAGTTTAATGCAAATCAGACTTTGTTTGTGCAAACGGGAAAAAAAATTAATGTTGTCAAAAAACGGCCAAAAAAACCCTCACATTTTGCTGCTCCGCTGCTCAAACAATGTTTCACTGATCAAAAATCCCTGAGGTCATTTTGAAGATAAATGTGTTGAGATAATTTGGAGCAATTTTGAGGCCATTTTGAGGCCAATCGGTGAAACGGCCGAGGAGGAGTCGCTTTCCAACCGACATGTATGAAAGTGATTGGTTTTCATTTTTCCATTTTGCAATGAAATTTATGAGCTTCCTGTTTGTCAGAGGGCTTAGCCATATTAAAATGTTTTCCATGTCTTGACTTGAGGAACATGTCTTTCAAATTACATGGTTCTATAACAATTTTGACCTCGAACCCCACCCATAGGCATTTTTAAATTGGCTTTTGTAGGTGGCGCTATAGAGCCAATTTCAAAATTTTAACTTTCAAATGACCTAGACCCAAGAGTTGAACCATGGATTCAAGTTTTGTGCAAATAAGATTTTGTTTGTGCAAACGGAAGCAAATTTTCTTTTGTCAAAAACTGAAAAAAAATACAGCACTTTTTGCCGCTCCGCTGCTCAAACAACGTTTCACTGATCAAAAATCCCTGAAGTCATTTTGAAGGTACATATGTTGAGATGATGTGGAGCAATTTTGAGGCGAATCGGTGAAACGGCCGAGGCTGGTTTGATGTTTGTGTGAGGTGTACATTTGCAATGAATGGGGAGCGTTTGTCGTCGCCACGGCAACAGGGTAAAAAATAAGCCTTGGACCCTATTGACTTTTTGAATCAAGAGGGCAAAACAGATTTATGTGCAAAATTTCAAACATTTTGAAAAAACTAAATTTGAAAATGCCCATCTAAAACTTTGAAATAGTCTGTAGGGGGCGCTAATGTGTCAATTTGAATCAATTCACTTTCAAATGACCTAGACCCTAGAGTTGAACAATGTATTAAAGTTTTGTGCAAATCAGACTTTGTTTGTGCAAACGGGAGCAAATTTAATGTTGTCAAAAACGGCCAAAAAAATGTCACATTTTGCCGCTCCGCTGCTCAAACAACGTTTCACGGATCAAAAATCCCTGAGGTCATTTTGAAGGTACATGTGTTGAGATGATGTGGAGCAATTTTGAGGCGAATCGGTGAAACGGCCGAGGAGGAGTCGCTTTCCAACCGACAGGTATGAAAACTTTTGCTGTTCATTTTTCCATTTTGCAGTGAAATTTATGGGCTTCCTGTTTGTCAGAGGGCGGGGCCATAATAATATTTTTTTCTTGTCTTGACTTGAGCAACATGTGTACCAAATTTCATGTTTCTACGACAAACTTGACCTCCGAAAAGTCCCATAGGGGTATTATTTTGGCTGTTGTAGGTGGCGCTGTTCTGTCATTTTTTGAGTCCCATAAAAATAAACACCAAAATATCAAATTTTTCACCAGGTCTGATTTTTGGGCCAAAATTAACAACTTTTCATGCATGTTCAGGGGGTCAAATTAAGGCTCAAAGTGCAGAAGAAAAAAGAAAGAAAGAAAGAAAGAAATAAATAAATTAAAGCCGCAAGCGGCGTCGAACGGCCCTCGCCGCACCGCGCGACTCCCTGCACCGCGCGCACTCCCCGCACCATGCCGCCCCGCACCAAGCCGCCCTGCACCATGCCGTCCCGCACCAAGCCGCCCCGCACCAAGCCGCCCCGCACCAAGCCGCAACGCGCCGCTCCACAACGCCCCGCACTACGTTGCACCACACCGTACCACGCAGCACCACTAAAAGGAAGTGGCACCGCCGTGTGATGATTTGTTTCCGTAGCCATAGAAGAATGTTAGTCAAATTGTAATGAATGTGATAAGTAGAGCTGGTTTGGCTCCCCATGTAAACTTTGACACAGTCTGTAGGGGGCGCTAATGGGCCAATTTCCAATATTTCACTTTAACCTGACCTAAACCCTGGAATTGAACAATGGATTAAAGTTTTGTGCAAATCAGACTTTGTGTGTGCAAACAGGAGCAAAATTAATGTTTTCAAAAAGAGCCAAAAAAACCTCACATTTTGCTGCTCCGCTGCTCAAACAACGTTTCACTGATCAAAATTCCCTGAAGTCATTTTGATGGTACACGTGTTGAGATGATGTGGAGCGATTTTGAGGCGAATCGGTGAAACGGCCGAGGCTGGTTTGATGTTTGTGTGAGGTGTACATTTGCAAAGAAAGGGGAGCGTTTGTCGTTGCCATGGCAACAGGGTAAAAGATAAGCCTTGGACCCTATTGACTTTTTGAATCAAGAGGGCAAAACAGATTTATGTGCAAAATTTCAAACATTTTGAAAAAACTAAATTTGAAAATGGCCATCTAAAATTTTGAAATAGTCTGTAGGGGGCGCTAATGTGTCAATTTGAATTAATTCACCTTCAAACGACCTAGACCCTAGAGTTGAACAATGTATTAAAGTTTTGTGCAAATCAGACTTTGTTTGTGCAAACGGGAGCAAATTTAATGTTGTCAAAAACGGCCAAAAAAAGGTCACAGTTTGCCGCTCCGCTGCTCGAACAATGTTTCACTGATCAAAAATCCCTGAGGTCATTTTGAAGGTACATGTGTTGAGATGATGTGGAGCAATTTTGAGGCGAATCGGTGAAACGGCCGAGGAGGAGTCGCTTTCCAACCGACATGTATGAAAACTTTTGCTGTTCACTTTTCCATTTTGCAGTGAAATTTATGGGCTTCCTGTTTGTCAGAGGGCGGGGCCATAATAATATTTTTTTCTTGTCTTGACTTGAGGAACATGTGTACCAAATCTCATATTTCTACGACAAACTTGACCTCCGAAAAGTCCCATAGGGGTATTATTTTGGCTGTTGTAGGTGGCGCTGTTCTGTCATTTTTTGAGTCCCATAAAAATAAACACCAAAATATCAAATTTTTCGCCAGGTCTGATTTTTGGGCCAAAATTAACAACTTTTCATGCATATTCAGGGGGTCAAATTAAGGCTCAAAGTGCAGAAGAAAAAAGAAAGAAAGAAAGAAATAAATAAATAAATAAATAAATAAATAAAAAAGGAATTTTTTGTGACTTGTCTCGAGCAAAAACAATATAGGTTTCAATGGCATGTGATTCATCATTTTAAAGCTTTTGAGTTTACGCACGCAACTGTCACGTTTTGGTGAGTGACGGGCGCTGACGCGTCCGTCACGCACCGCCACCATTTGTTTTCACCATTGTGAAAGCAATAGGCCCTTACCCCGTTCGGGGCTCGGGCCTAATAAAAAAGGAATTTTTTTGTTAACGTCTCGAGCAAAAACAATATAGGTTTCAATGGCACCTGATACATCATTTTAAAGCTTTTGAGTTTACGCACGCAACCGTCACGTTTTGGTGAGTGACGGGCGCTGACGCGTCCGTCACGCACCGCCACCATTTGTTTTCACCATTGTGAAAGCAATAGGCCCTTACCCCGTTCGGGGCTCGGGCCTAATTAAAGCCGCAAGCGGCGTCGAACGGCCCTCGCCGCAACGCGCGACTCCCCGCACCGCGCGCACCCCCCGCACCGCGCGCACCACGCCGCCCCGCACCAAGCCGCAACGCGCCGCTCCACAACGCCCCGCACTACGCCGCACCACACCGTACCACGCAGCACCGCTAAAAGGAGGTGGCACCGCCGTGTGATGATTTGTGTCCGTAGCCATAGAAGAATGTTAGTAAAATCGTAATGAATATGATAACTAGAGCTGGTTTGGCTCCCCATGTAAACTTTGACACAGTCTTTAGGGGGCGCTAATGGGCCGATTTCAAATATTTCACTTTCACCTGACCTAAACCCTGGAGTTGAACAATGTATTAAAGTTTTGTGCAAATCAGACTTTGTTTGTGCAAACGGGAGCAAATTTAATGTTGTCAAAAACGGCCAAAAAAACTTCACATTTTGCCGCTCCGCTGCTCGAACAATGTTTCACTGATCAAAAATCCCTGAGGTCATTTTGAAGGTACATGTGTTGAGATGATGTGGAGCGATTTTGAGGCGAATCGGGGAAACGGTCGAGGAGTAGTCGCTTTCCAACCGACATGTATGAAAACTTTTGCTGTTCATTTTTCCATTTTGCAGTGACATTTATGAGCTTCCTGTTTGTAAGAGGGATTAGCCATAATAACATTTTTTCCATGTCTTGACTTGAGGAACATGTGTACCAAATTACATGGTTCTACGGCAATTTTGACCTTGAACCCCTCCCATAGGCATTTTTAAATTGGCTGTTGTAGGTGGCGCTATAGAGCCAATTTCAAAATTTGAACTTTCAATTGACCTAGACCCAAGAGTTGAACCATGGATTCAAGTTTTGTGCCAATCACACTTTGTTTGTGCAAACGGAAACAGTTGTTCTATTGTCAAAAACTGAAAAAAAATACGCCACTTTTTGGCGCTCTGCTGCTCGAACAACGTTTCACTGATCAAAATTCCCTGAAGTCATTTTTATGGTACATATGTTGAGATGATGTGGAGCGATTTTGAGGCGAATCGGTGAAACGGCCGAGGCTGGTTTGATGTTTGTGTGAGGTGTACATTTGCAATGAATGGGGAGCGTTTCTCGTCGCCACGGCAACAGGGTAAAAAATAACACCCCCCACGACCACCACGCCCCCCCCCCCCCACCTCCCACCCATCCACCCCCCCCCACCACCCCACCCCCCATCACCCCACACCCCCCCAACCCCACCCCCACCCACACACCACCTCCACACACCCCTACCCACCACCACCCCACACCCCTAACCCCCCCACATCCAACATCCCACACAACCACACCACACCCCCCACCACCCTCAACCCCCACAACACAAACCCACCCCCCCCACCCCCAACCCCCACCCACCCAACACCTCACCCCCACCCCCCCACCCAACCACCTCCCACAACCCACCTTCCTCCCTACACCACACCCACCAACCCCCCCCCACCCACCACACCCACCAACCAACCCACACCACACCACCCCCCCCGACCTCCACCTCCAACCTCCCCACCCTACCCCCTCCCACACACCCCCCCCACCTCCCTCCCCGCATACACCCACCCCACCAACCCCCCCCACACACACACCCCCCCCTCACCTCCCCCCCCCCTCCCGACCCCAACCCCCCAAACCCCCCCACCCCCCAACCTAACACCACCCCCCATAACCCACGCACCACCGCCCACCAACTCCCACCATCTCCCCAACACCACAACCTCCGTCACCAAACCAACCACCTACCCACCTCCACCCCCCACCTACTCATCCCCGACCTACCACCACCCCATCCCCCACACAATCCACCTCAACCCCACTACCTTCTCCACACCCCACATCCCACCCCCAACTCCTCCCCCCACCCTCCCACTCCCCCCCCCCCCCCCAAACCACCCTCCCCACTACACCCCACACAACCCACCACTCCAACCCAATCCCCCATGCACCACCCAACAAACAACCCCCCCACCCCCCCCCACACCACCATCCCCCACCCCCGCTACCCCCACCCCCACCCCACTACTACCCACCACCCCCACCCCCTCACACACCCTCCAACACAAACCCCCAACCCCCTCCACCCCACAACACAACAGCCCCCCCAAACCCACCACCCAACACCCCCCAAAACCCACCCCCCACCTCTCCCCCCCCCCACGCACCTAAACCCACCAGACCCCCCCCCACCAACCCATCCACCCCCACACCCAACCCCAACCCCCTCCCCCCGCCCACACACCACCCCCCCCTCACTCCCCCCCACCCACCCTCCATCAACACCCCTCCACACCCCCTCACCACCCTCCTCCCCCCACACCCCCCTACCACCCACCCCCACCACCCCCCCAACCACCCCCAACCCACTCACAACACCCAGCCGACCCAACCACCACCCCCCCCCACCTCCACACCCCGCCTCACCACACCCACCCACATCGACCCCACCCCCCCCCACCAACACCACACCCCCCCACCACCAGCCCACCACACACCCGCCCCCACACGCCCCCCACACACCCCACGCACCCACCCCTCCCACCCCCCCCACCCCCACTCCTCCCCACCCCCCAACCCCACCACCCCACCACACCCCTACCCCACTCCGACCCTACCATAAACACCCACCCCCACCCCACACCCCACCCCACACCACCCACACCCCCCTCACCATCCATCACACACCCACCACCCCAACACCACCCCCCCCCCCTCCACCAATCACCACACAACCACCCCAACCCCAACACACCACACAAACCACCCCACATCCCACCCGACCCCCACACAACCCCCCCACACCCCCCCCCCACTCCCCGCAACTACCCACCCCCACCCCCCCCCACCGCTGTTCGTTCTTGTGTAGTTAGATGTATTTTAGTGTTTGTCCCCACACCTCCCCCAATCCACCCACCCACAACACCATCCCACCCCACCCCCCAACCCACCCACTCCCCACACCACCCACCCACCACCCTCCACCCCCCCCACCCACCCCCACCAACCCTACAACCCCCCCACCCCCACCCCCACCCCCCCCCCACCCAACCCACCCCCACCCCCCCACCCACCCACCCCCCACCACCGCCAGCCCACCCACACCCACTCCCCACCCCACCCCCCATACCCCCCCACATCCCCCCCACGCCCACCACCACTTCACCAACCCACCCCCCACAACAACCCCCCACAACCACTCACACCCACCCCCCACCACACCCCCTCCACGCCCCCCCCCCCCCACGCCACCCTGGCCACCACCACACAAACCCACACCCCCCCCCCACACACCTAACTCCCACCCACCACCCTCACCCACCCCATCAACCCCTCACGCTTACCCTCACACCCCCCCAAATACACAAACCACACTACACACCCCACCCCATCCACGCTCCCCCACCTAACACCCACCCCCCCACCCCCACCCACCACACCCACACCCACCATCACCCCCCCCCACCACCCCCCCCCCCCCCCTACCCCCCCCACACACACACCCCCCACTCTAAACCCACCACAACACCCCAACTACCCCCCCCACCCACACCCCAACACCCACATCACCAACCCTTGACCCTAACCACCCCCCACCCCCCCCACCACCCCTCCACCCACCCCACCCCCACACAAACATCCACACCCCCACCACCCCACCCCCCCACTACCCCCCCCGACCCCCCCCCCCCAACTCCACAACCCCCACAACACCGCCCCCCACCCACCACCCCCCACCACCAACCACTACCAGCCCCCACCCCCACACCCTCCCACAACCCCCCCCACACCCCACTCCCACCACCCCCGCCCCCACCACCCCACGCACAACCCCACCCCCACACCCATACCCCACCCCCGCCACCCCACATCCACCTCCACCCCACCCCCATACCCCACCCCCACCCACAACCACACCCCCCCATCCCACCCGCCCACCCCCACACAACCACCCCCACCCCCCACCACACACCTACTCCCCCACACCAACCCCCCCCACTCAACCCCCCCACCCCACCCCCCCCCCACCACACCCCCCGCAATTACACTCACCCCCCACCACACCCCCCAAATCCGACCCCCCCCACCCTCAACCCCCCCCACCCCCCAAAACCACTCCTACCCACCCCAAACCACACCCCCTCGCCCCACCCCACCACCCCCACACACACAAACCACCTCACCCCTACAACACCTCCCCACCCACGACAGCCCCCTCACCTCACACACCCCCCCCCACTCCCTCCCCCCCCCACGCCAACCCACATCCTCACCTACCCAACCACCCCACCAACCCTACCCACCTCCCCCCCCCCCCACCCCCCTCCCCCCTCTCCACCCCCCCCCCCACCCACAACACCCCCTCTCAACCCCTCCCCTAACCACCCACAACCCCCCCCACATCCTCCTCCCCCAACTAATCCTCCCCCCCACATACACACCTCAACACCCGCATCACCACTTCACGCACAACACCACCCCTCACCACCACCCCCACCCCAGCCCCACCACACCCACCCCACCACCCCTCCCCCCCCAATCCACCCACCGCTCCCCCCCCCACAACCCCCTCACCCCACCCCCCACACCGAACTCCCCACCACCGCCCCCCTCCCAACAAACACCCCTCCCCACAACCTCCCCCCTTCCACAACCACCACCCCCACCACCACCACAAACACCACCCAATCCACCCACCCCCACCTCCCCCTCCCAATCCACCACCCACCAACCACCACCCCACCCACGCACCCCACCCCACACTCACCCCCCTCCAAACTCCTCCCCCCAGCCCCACCAACCCCCCACCACCCCCCCCACCTCCCAACTCCCACCCCACCACCCCCACCCGAACCACCCCCGAACACCCCCCAACCCACCCCACCCAAACCACACCCCACCCCCCCCCCCCCACATCCGCACCCCCACCCCTCCCACCCCCCCACACCCCACCCCTCCCCACTCCGCTCCCACCAATCCACACCTCCCCCCCACACAACCCGCCCAACCCTTGTCACCACCCACCCCCTAACACACATATCCACCCACCCCTCCTACCCCATTAACCCCCCCACCCCCCTAACCCCACCCCAATCCCACAACGACGCCCCCCCCACACAAACCCGACCCCCCCCCCCACTACGACCACCACCCCCTCCCCAACCCCCACCCAAACACCCCCCACTCCCCCCACACCCCACACCACCCCAAATCCCACCCCCACCCCCCCTCCAACGACCAAACCAGGCCAACCTACCCCCACCCCCGCAACCCCCCACACCCCCCCCCCTACCACCCTCCCCACATACCTCCCCTCCCCCCCCCCCCTCCCACCACCCAACCCCTCCCCCCCGCACCCCCCCCCCCCACCACCCACCACCCACCACCCCCCCACCACACACCCAACCACCCCCCCCCACCCCCCCCCCCCCACCCCCCCACACCAACCCCCCACCACACCCACCTCACCCCCCCACTCCACACCACCCCCCCCCCCCCCCACCCCCAACCCTCCCCTCTACCCCACCCACCCCCCACACCATCACCAATCCCCAAACCCACCTACCCCCGACCCCCCATACCAACCCTCGCCAACACACCCACACACCCCCCCACCCACCTCCCTCCTCCACACCCTCGAGCGACCCCATACACCCCCCACCACCCCACACACCCCCCCCCCCCGAACCCCACCCGCACAACCCCCCACACCCCACACCCCCCAAACCACACCCACCACCCTACCCCACTACCAACACCCCACACCTCCCCCCCACACACACCCCCCCCACACTCACACCACACCCCCCCACCCACCACACCCCCACCCAACCACCTCTCCACACCCCACACACCCACTATACCCGCCACCCCACCACACCACCTCCCCCCCCCCCACACCCCCACCCACCACCCCCCCACACCTCACCTCCCACCTATCACCCCCCCCACCCACACAACACCCACCCCACACCCTCACCCCCACCACACCCCCCGCCCCTGACCACCACACCCACACCCCTCCCCCCCACCCCCCCTCTCCCCCCACACACAGCCGCACCCCACCCCGCCCCCCCTACCACCCCCCCAACCACCTCTCCCTCCCCCAATTCTACAACCCACCCCCTCCACCCCACCTCCACACACCCCCCCCCCCCCCCCCCCCTGCCCCACACCCTCACCCACCCGCACACCCCATACACCACCACCCACCCACACCCCTCCCCCCACCCTAACCTCCCACCCCCGACACCCCCCCCCCCCACCCCCCCCACCCCCCAAACAACCCCACACACCCAAAGCCAAACCCCCCCCACCACCCCCCCCACCACACCTACCCCCCACCCCCACTCACAACCCCCCAACCCTCCCCACCCACCCACCCCCCCTACCACTCCCGCATCACCCCCCACCCCACCACAACCCCTCACCCCCCCCACCCCCCCCCCCCCCACCCCTACCCCCGCACCTCCACCCCACCCCACACCCCTCTCCACCCACCCCCCCACCCACCAACCACACCCCCCCCTCCCCCGCCCGCACACCAACAACCCCCACACCCCCCCCCCCACCCCCACCCCCCACCCTCTCACCCACCCACACCCACCCCCCTCCCCCCCCACCCCCACCCCACCCCCCCCACCCCTCCCCCCCCCCCCCCCCCACCCCTCCCCCCCACCCTCACCACCCCACCCCCGTTCACCCCCCCCACCCCCCACCCCAACCCACTACCACACCCAACCCCATCCCGCACCCCAACCAACCACACACCACACCACCACCAACCTCACCCAACCCCCACACCCCCAACCCCCATCCCTACCCCCCCCACTCCTCCTCCCACGCCCCCCCACTCCCAACCCCCTCCCCCCAACCACCCCCCCCCTATCACCCCCCCCCCCGAACCCCCCTTCAAACCCACCCCACCCACCCACGACACACCCCCCCGTCCCGCTCACACCCCCCCACACACCACCCCCACCCACCCCCCACCCCCTCCCCACCCCCCCACCCACCCCACCATCCCCCAACCCCACCCCCTCCACTCACACCACCCCCCCCCACACCCCTACCACCCCGCCCTCCCCCCCCCACCCCACCCCCACCCCCACCCCCCCCCTACCCCCTCACCTACCTGCAACCCACCCCAAACCCCTCACCCCCCACCCTCACCCCACACCCCCACCCCCTAACACCCCCCCCACCCCCCCTTCCCCTCCCACCCTCGCCCCCACCCGCCACCCCACACCCCCCCCACCCCCCCCCCCCACCACCCCCCTCCACTACCCCCCCACCCCCCGACCCCCCCCAACCCCACACCCCACCCCCCCCACCCACCCACCCGCAAACACCCACCCACCCCACCTCACCCCCCCCCAACCACCCCCCATCCACAAACCCCCCTCCCCACAACCTCCCCCATCCCACATCAACACCCAGCCCACCCACCCCCACGCCCCCCCCCACCCACCACCCACCCTCCCCCCCGCCACCACCCCACCCCAACACCACCCACCCCACCTCACCCCCCCCTCCCACACCCCCCCCCACCACCCCCCCACCCCCAAAACCCCCACCCTCCCCCCGCCCCACCTCCTCCCACTCACCCACACCTACCCCCCCACCCCTCCCCTCCCCCCCCCACACCACCACACCCCCCCACCCCCCCACCTCAACACCCCCCAACACCCAACCCACCCCCCACACACCCACCCCCCCCCCCATCCCCCCACACCCCCCCACCCACCCAACCCCACCACCCCCACCCCCACCCTACCCCCCACCCCACCCCCCCCACCCCGAACACCCCACCACACCCCCAAATCCCGCACCCCTCCCCCCCCCCACCCCCCACACCAAACACACCCCCCACCCCACCTCACCACAGCCCACACTCCACCCTCACCACCCCCACACTCCCACCCACCCTCACCCCAAAACCCCCCCCCCTCACACCACAACCCCACCCCCAACCACCCACTAACCTCCCACACCCCACCACCACACCCAACACCCCCACTCACCTCCCACCACACCCCACCCCACACACCCAACACCACCCCACCCCCCCCCGCCACACCCCAAACACACACCCCTACACGCCCCCCCACATCCCACACAACAAACCCACCCCCCACCCTTCCACCCCGCACCCCACCCCCCACCCCACCCCCAACAACCCCCCCCAACCGAAACCACTTCACCCCCCCACCCCCACAACCCCCCACCTCCATCCCCCCCACCCCCCCTACCACCCACCCCCCAACACCCCCTTCCCCAACCAACACACCCCTGCCCACCTCACCCAAGACACCCCCACTCATCCCCCCACCACCCCCCTCCACCAAACAACAACCCCACCTACCACACCCAACCACACACTCCCAACCACACACCCTCAAACCACCCACCACCCCACGTCCCCCCCGCACCCCCCCACACCTCCCCCCCCACACCCCCCCCACAACCTCCCACACCCCCCCCAACACACCCACCCACACCAACTCCACACCCTCACCCAACCACCCCCCGCCACCACGACTCCACACCCCCCCCCCCACCACACCCCACCCCCCTAAACCCACCACACCCCCAACCCCACAACCTCCCCCCGCCACCCCCCACACAAACCAACACACCCCCCCCCCAACACACCACCCCACCCACCCGCAGCCACCTCTCCCCACCACACCCCACCCCCCCCCACCCCCCACCCCCACCCACCCCCCCACCCCCCTCTACCCCCCCTCCACCCCCACCCACCCCACACCACAACCCCCTCCCCCCACCCCCACACCACCCCACCCACCCCACTACCCACCCCGCCCCCCCCCCCACACCCCCCCCACCCTCCCCACCAAACACCCACTCCCACCCCCCCCCACACCACCCTCCTACAAACCCCCACAACCTCACATCCCCCCACACACAGCCCCCCACCCCTACCCCCTCCCCCCACCCGCCACACCACAAATCCCACCCCTTCTCACCCCCACCCCACCCACACCACACCCACCCCACCACCACGCCACACACCCCCACACACCCTCCACCCCCACCACACAGCCACCCACTCACACATACACCCCCCCCATCCCCCCCACCCTCCCCCACTCCCCCTCTCACCCCCACGCCCCCACCACACACACGCCCCCATACGACCCACCCACTCCACCCCCCCAACCATCACACACCCCTACCACCACACCCCCCCCACCCCCCCCCACACACAACCTACACCCCACACTCACCCCCTCCACCTCCCCAACCCACCCACACACCACCCCCCATACACAACCCCCCCCACACCCCCCCACCCCCCCCACCACCACCCCCCCCACCACTCTCCACCCCCCCCACACCCCAACAACCCCCTACCTCCCACCGCCCCACCACCACCCCACACTACGACCAACCCCCTCACCACCCACCACACCGATTTTGGCCCCCCCTACCACCCTCCCCACCCCACACCCCCCCCCCCCCCACCACACACCACCCCCACCTAACCCAACCATACAACCTACCACCACCACCCCCCCCACCAACACTCAACACCCACCCCCACCCCCCCCACACCCCCCCCCCCCCCCACCCCCCCCCCACCACACCCGACTCCACACCCCCACCTACCCCCCCCACCCAAACCCAACACAACACCCACCCTCCCCCACCCCACCCCTTCCCCCTACCCCACCCACACACCCACCAACCACCACCCCCCCAACCCCCCCCCCCCCACCCACTCCACTACCCACACCCCACCCCCCACCCCAACCACCCACCCACCCCCCCACACCCCAACCCAGCACCGCTGTTTACCAACCACCACCACCCCCCTACCACCACCCCCCACCACCCCCACCCAACACACGCACCACCACCCTACCCCACCCCAACACCCACCCACCCACACTCAACCACCACCACCACCGCTAACCCCCCCACCCCCACAAACACACCACCACCCCCACCCCCACCCCCACCCGTAACACCACCACCCCCCACACCACACACCACCCAACCCTCACCCACCACCCCCCCCTCCCCCCACCCCACCACCCACCCACCCCCACCCCCCACCTCCCCAGCATCCGACCCACCCTCCCCACACCCGCCTCCCCCCCACCCCACCCCCACCCAACACCCACCCCAACCCCACCCCACCCCACCACAGACCAACCCCAGCTGCACCCCCTACCACACCCCCCCCCCCACCCACCCCCCCACCCCACCCCCACCCCCCACACACCCTCCCTACCCACAACCCCCCCCACCCCCCCACCCGACTCTCCTAAAACCCCCACCACCCCTTCAACCCCCCCACACGCCCTCTCCACACCCCTGCCACACCCAACACCCACCACCCCCCCCAAACACCCCCCGCACCCCTCCACGCAAACCCCCAACGTCACCGCACCCCCACCACACCCCCCCCAACCCCCACACAACCCCATGCAACACACCACCCCCACAACACACCCCCTCCCCCACACCCACCACCACCAACCCACCCCCCCCCCCCACACCACGGCCCCCAGTCCCAACCCCGAGACCCCCCCACCCCCTGCAACCCCCCCACCAACCCCACACCCCCCCCCCCCCCCCCACCCCACACCCCACCCCACCCCACCCAAGCCACCCACCACCCACGCCCACACCCCCCCTCCCCCCCCCACCCCCCCCCACACCCGCCCCCTACCCACCCATCCCAACACACTCCCCCCCAACCCCCCCACCCCACACCATACACACCAACACCCCCACTCACAACCCACCACCCACAATGCCACCCACCCCACCACCCCCCCCTCCCCCACCTACACACACACGCCCCCCACCCCACACCTCACACACCCCGCCTTCCAAACCCCCCTCCCCACCCCCCCAACCAACCTCCCACCCACCCCCCTCTACCCCCCCCCCACCCCCCAACACCCCCCCACACAACCCACACCCCCAGACACACCCCCCCCCCCCCCCAAACACCACCCCCCCACCCTACCTCCTCACACCACCCCCACCCACCACTCACCCCCACCCCCGCCACACACCCTTCACACCCCCCCACCCCCCCACCCCCCCCCACCCCCACCCTCCCCCCCCCCCTAACCCTCCCCCCCCCCACTCCACCTCACCCCTCCCGACCACCCCTCCAAAAACCCCACCCACCACCTACCCCACACCCACACCCCCCCATCACCCCAATCCACCCTCCTCGCCCCTACCCCCCCCCCACAAACACCCCCACCGAACCACCCTCACCAAACCCACGACACCCCCCGCCTCAACCACCATCACCTACTACCCCCCCTCCCCCACCCACCCCAGCACCCCACAATTACACACACCACACCCCACCCCCCACCCCCCACCCCCCACCACCCCCCCCCACACTACCGACTCCTCACCCTAACGCCACACTCCTCTCCCACACCCCCACCCCCCAACCACCGACAACCCCCCATACCACCACCCCCCCCCACACCCCGCACACACCCCCCACCCCTCCCAACCCCACAACCCTACACCACTCACCACCCAGCCACCCACCCCCCGCCCCCCAAACCCACCCACACACCCACCCACCCCACAGCCCCAACCCCCCCACCCAACCCACCCCGCCCCACCCACCAGCCACACCCAAACCCCCCCCACCTCACCAGCCCCCCCCCACAGTATGCCGACTCCCACCCACTCACACCCCCCCCCCCCCCCCCACCACCCCCCCCCCACCCCCACCCCCCCCACACCCACCACACCCCAACCCACCAATACAACACTACCTCCCCCCCCCCCCCCCCTCCACCACACCACCCCAACCCACCAACCACCACTCCCCCTACCCCCCACCCCACCACCACAACCACCCCCCCCACCCCACCTCCCACACCCACCACCACCAATCCACCCACACCACTCCCCCCCTGACCAAACACACCCACCCCCGACCCCCCCCACCCCCCCGACCCAACCCCCCCCCCCACACACCCACAACCCCACCCACAACCCCCACACCCCAAACATCCACCCCCCATCCCACCCACTCCCCCCCCCCAGCACAACTCACAACCCACCCCCCAACCCACCACCCAACAACACCCCCCGCCACCAACCACCCCCACCCCCATCACCCCACCCCCCCACCACCCCCACACCCCCCACCCCAACCCCCCACCCCCACCACCCCCCAACCCACCCCCCACCCCACCACACCCCCACCCTCCCCCCCCAACCACCCACACCCCTAACAACCCCATCCCCCTCCCCCCTCCACCACACACACCCGGACCCCACCCACACCCCCCCACCCACCCTACCCACCCCCCACCACCCCACCCCCCCACCCCACCTCCAGCACCCCCCACCAACACCACTCACACCCCGGCACCCCGAACATGGCGTATACTCTGACGCTTCGACAATGATTCCTGCCTTCACCAATTCTGACACTGTGTACTTCAATTTGTCCTGGAGTCCTGCTTTAATGGGATACTGCTTCTGATAACACACTTGGTCATCAAACAGTAGTTTTATTGGCAGGATTCCCTCTGCTTTCCCGATGTCAAATGCATGTTTTGTCCATAGCCTCTCAAAGGTAAAGTGTGTTTCTGCTCTTCAAATAGGTTTGAATTGGTATTTTCCCTGCCATGTGTCCTTGTTCTCTGTACTTCCTGCATAGTGGCTTTATATTCAATTGGGTCATTGAATTTGATCACATAACCTCCTGTGGTTTCACTATGCAGTACAATGTATTGTAATTGTCCCTGTTGCACACACATTGGTTTTAAATCACTGGCCAATATCAGTGCACACATTGGACCTAAATTCTTGGCCTCTGCTTTGGACTCAATCATCATTGTTACATGTGGTGTGGATTTGTCAACCCTAAATATTGGGAGTGTGTCTGTGTTTGAATTTGTGTTAGCAAACGCCACCCCATGTTCTCCCACCACTACGCAATTCAGCTTTTGTGTCACTTTAGGATCTCCTACTCCCTGTGTCTGGCATGCACTAGTCTTGTACATTTCCCACTCAATCAAATAGTTGTCATATGATTGTTGATCTTCTGGATGCCTAAAATATGCCTGTGTACAGTGTACGACATCTACTGGAGACCGCAAGTCCTTGCATCTCTCAGTAATCCATGGCAAAAATGGCTTAACTAGTTCATGCAATGTGTCATTGGATTCTTCACTACCCTCTAGCCAAAAAACTGTGGCTATGTTATCGTCAATTTTTGGTGTTTTAAGATTTTGTTCCTGCTGGAGCAACAGTTCAGTTTCGAGACCACAATCCTGTATTAACATGCCCAACTCATTTGACACTTTCATTCTGGAAAGAAATATCCAATTTCAAAAGTTTTATCAAATCCCTTCCCATTAGGTTGTGGGGACAGTTTGGGGCTATTAGAAATTCATGTTGGAAAGTCTGCTTTACTCCTGATTTATAGGTAACTGTGCAGTCTAGAGGTTTTGAGTAAAAAACTCTTGTAGCCAAACCATTAAATCCAGATACGATTTTCCACTTTTGAGAGGGCTCTAGACTGCATTTTAATGAACTAAATGTTGCTCCAGTGTCTACCAACAGTTTCTGAGGCTGTCCCTCAATTGTTATTGTGATAAATTTTGGAGCCACGTTAATGCATCCCTCTCTATCTGGACCACGGCATCTTCATTTCGGTAATAAACTGAGTTGATGAGCAGCGACCTCTGGTCTTGACTCTGTCATCTGGTGAGTGGTCATATACTGTGGCTGTGGTTGGCCCAAGACCATTGGCTGTTGTGGTTGTACCTGTTGAGGTGCCTGATACATCTGGTGTATTTGTGGTTGCTGGTATGGCTGTTGCGGTTGTGCCTGGTGCACTTGTGGTTGTTGGTATGGCTGTTGTGGTTGTGCCTGGTACACTTGTGGTTGTTGGTATGTTTGAAATGGAAACTGCTGCTGACCTCCTTGACCCTGCATGTGTTGCATTCCTCCCGTTCTGCAATTTCTTGCTATATGTCCGTACCGTCCACACCTGTAACACTTCATGTTTGATAAATCTCTGTCCTGTCTAAATTGTCCACCACCTCTACCTCTGCTATTCCTGGGGAATGTCTGGAACCTCTGTCCTTGATTTCCATAGGGCATGTATCCATTCATTTGCCATTCATACTCTGGTTGCTGCTGTATCTGTCCAGTCTGTATAATCTGCTGTGGTTGCATCACCTGTGTCTGCGTCTGAGGCTGCAGTGGACTTGGATTACCACTAAACAACATTTCTGCTTTCTCCACTTTTTCTGGCTTTGGTTCAGATTTTTTAATCTCTTTAACTAATTCCTTAATCAGTGACAAACTATCATCAGTTTTGGGGCTGTTTTTCTTCCTAAGTAGCTTTTTAATAGTACAATATGACCTAACAAAAGCTGGCGAGTCAGTATCCAAATTCAGAATGTGTTTTTCCTTCTCAGCTGTCGGTAGTTCCCTGAGCATTCGCTGATAGAACATTTTTTTGATCAAATCATAGGTTGGGGTGGACTCTCTTGGATACAATGCATCAAACTCCTTATTTATTCTATGCTTCATGGCCTCGGCTGTCTCTCCATCTTGCACTTCTAGATTTATGGTTTCCATAGCATTCATGGGCACAGGAAATAACGTTTCCATTTTTTCCATCACAGCTGAATACCATGCTTCCACTGAACAGCTGTTTGTGGCTCGAACTGCAACATTTTCAAATCCTGTGGACATGATTGGAAGATGGACACCGAGAACGGTAGTGAGATCATTTAGGGTTAAATTTTGAGCAGGATAGTGTTCCAGGATTGACAACAAACATGCTCTGCCCCCATACTGCCTTGGGTCTTTCATTCTCATTTTTATAGAGTCAATTTCAGTTATAGTGAGCGGTTTACATGTCCTGATCTCTCTGCCGGACCTAGACGTCGATACCACAATTGGACACATCGACACATCTTCTCCTTGTCTGCGCCTAGCTTTCCTCTTGTTCTGTCGCCTTTCCTGTTGATAATAAATTTCCCCACTCGTACCGTCGTCTTCTGAGTGTTCATCTGTTACAAACGCATCTGAGCCGGTCATCAATAAATCTTCGTCTGACGAGCTTGATTCTGCATCTATAGTCTGATTAGATCGAGTAAAATAACGATGCTGTCTTTCTTTTCTAACTGTAATCGGCTTCTGAAAGCTGATTCTTAAATCTCTCTTCTTCCTAGCCCCTGAGTGCTGGTCCACTCCCTTCTGGGCCTCTCTGTCTGCGCCCCCCTCGTTCCTCTGGGCTGTCACTCCTCCCGCCCCCTGCTCTCTCAGCTCTGCTCCTTTCTCTGCCTGGGAAGTAATCTCGTCAAATTTGGGACTAGAATGACTAATAAAGTTTTTTCCATTAAAACCATTTGCAAATGAATTTCCCCTAGTCCCTGGGGTATGCTGCAAGTGAGATGGGCCTCCCTGAATCGTGTGGTTTTTAAGCTCACTTTCCAGTCTTGTCAATGTGTCATTAAATTGTCTTTCAGCCACTTGTGCCACAATTTCTCCAACCTGATCAATGTGTTTCTGAAGCTGGGTAGTCTGAGCTGTAACCTCCCGTACCTGCCTGAGCGCCTCTTGGGAGTATTTTTGATCCATACTCTCCTCTCCTGTGCTAGTCACGGTACATTTGATTGGCTCTTCAAATGTAATCAATGGAGCCATTGTTGCAGAATCTTTACTTTTCACTAATTCTGTTAAATCTGGATACAATGGAGCATACGGTGGAGGGGAAGAATCAGGAGCTGTACTTTGCAATTTGGCAGCAGTCATCCATTTCTCATTTAGTTTGATCATCATTGAAATCAGAGTAACCTCATCTGTCAACTTTTGAATTTTCTTATTTTCTAACGGCTTCTCTCTTTGCATTTGAGAACGTTTCTCCAAAACTAATTCTCTTAGTTGTTTCATTAACCCTTCACTTGGAGGTGAATTTGACTTAGCTAAAATACCATCTTTCTTTTTTGATTTTAACCATGTTCTAACGCTCCTTGTTGTTGTATTTTTAATCTCTGTTGTCCCCTCTAAATACTGTATAATCCCCTTTATCCACTCATCTAATGTTACAGATGCCATGTTTTCTACCGTCTAGATTACAAGCCTTGTGTTATCAATATCAATGTAAAGAATCAGCAATTGGGTGCGTAATCTTAGAGCGTCAGATCGTGGTATCTCCCCGTTCGACCACAAAATGTGGTGGGGAAATGTACGCACGAATCGTGACCCCGTCCTACGCGACCCAAATTACTGCGTTCACTGTGACCGTTTGTGCAATGGTCACTTCCACAGAACACATCAATCACTCATTCACACCAAGAGAAAAATTAAAAAGTGAGAAAAGTTAGACACTGTCCCTGTCCTTTCCCTTATTGTCAATTAATTAAAACACACAGTTTTCTCCTTCAACTATTAAATCACTGAGATTACACACAGTTCACTCCTTTTAACTCATAAATCACTTAGATCCTCACACAGTCCTTTTAGGTTGACTATCAATCACTGAGATAACACACAGTTTTTCTCCTTTTCTTAAGTCACTTAGACTTTAGAATACTATTATCCCAATAAATATAAAAATACTTGCAAGCAAATCCTTCAATATTTACCCTACTTTTGTTTGTTTGTTTTTTTATTTTTAGGTCTCAGGTCAGGTGAAAGGAAAGATTAATTAGTTGGTAACAATCTTACCGTTTTACTTTGGCGCCAAATTAATCTTTTCTCTGACCGGTCCTAGTGTCTCCTGTCGAATCCTGTTCGAGCGACGCCAAGTTCTGCTGTAATTTGTCAGAATTCCCCTGCCCCAGAAGCAGCAGAGAGGCCGCAAACACAGCCCTTCGTTCTGCAGGTCCTTTTAGTTCAACAAGAGACAAAAACCAATGTTAAAACAGTAATAGAAATGACAGATACCAAACCTGATTTCAAAAGGTTATATTGAAGATTTTGCAAGCAATATTACAAGATAACGGTCTGCGAACACAAGTCTCGCTTCGCGTTCAGATAAGGAGTGGCCCCGGGGACGTCTTTCACCCTCCTGGTCAGAAGAAAAAGAAAAAGCCCCCGTGCCTCCTCCTGTACATCTTTTATACTGTACATCCAAGGTCACTGACATCACAGATTCGTGGACTCTATGACTTCTTCTGGCCAGCTGCCAAAGCCTGCACCTGCTCTGATAACCACTTGTCTCCCTCTTGTCCCCCTCCCATTCTCACACAGACTAACCTTGAACTCACTGCTCTTTGAGATTTACACAAACAAGTGCTAATTTGGCAACAGAAACAATACTAAACTGATTTTAATTTTAACTGGTCCAGGAGTTCAATATTCCAACAGTTCCCAGAACTCATGAAGCTGAAGGACACTACGAGCCGTAGTGTCATAGTTGCAATGAAATCAATGTTTGCAAGGCATGGTATCCCTGATGAGCTCATCTCAGATAATGGTCCGCAGTATGCCAGTGCTGAGTTCAAAGACTTTGCGGAAAGCTGGGAATTTAAACATCGTACTTCCAGTCCAACACACGCACAATCCAATGGGCAGGCTGAAAGAACAGTCCAAACTATAAAAAATCTGCTGAAGAAAACTGAGGTTAGCAAGGGCGACCCCTACATTTCACTCCTTGAGTATAGGAATACACCTTTGGAGAATGTAGGACTTTCCCCAGCACAGATGCTTATGGGACGCAGGTTGAATGGAAAACTACCAACATCTACATCCCTGCTCACTCCAGACGGATCGGACAAGATTCATCAGCAGCTTAAAGAAAGGCAGGAAAAGCAAAAACTGTACTTTGACAGGCAAACAAGGACACTGCCTGACTTACATAATGGAGAAAATGTTCGAATGCAAAGAGGACAGTCATGGCAGCCGGCAGTGGTCTTGCAAAAACATGAGCAACCAAGATCGTTTGTTGTTCGTACACCTGATGGCAGGATGTTTCGGAGAAACAGGAAGCACCTCCGCAAAACATGTGAGAGAACCGTCTCTACAAATGAACAGGACAATAATCTTGCAGAGGACACTCAATCGCAAACTGAGTTTGAGACTACAGGTTCATCTCATTATACTGTAGATAAACAGGTTACTCAGTCTGTAAGTGATAAATCTGATGTGGTCTCTTACACCAGGTCTGGGAGGGCAGTAAAGCTTCCTGCGCGATATCAAGAGTAATATGAATGTCTCTGTGTCAAGATAAATGATATTGCTTATACAATGTTTTGAGTTTAGAGCAATGCATGTGAGTTTTGCAACATGTTTTATTTGTTGTAATGTTTGGGTCACAATTGAGGCCAACTTGAAACAAAAGTTCTGATTGCATGTTTTGTACTTAAGATACATCGTTATTATGTAATGTTAAAACTTGTTAAGAAGGGGGATGTGATGTAAGTTAGTGCAAACAGGCACCCGTAGCCAATGGTCACTTACGCACGTACGTCAGGAAGGCGGGAGTGTATGTTATGTTATGTTATGTGGCACCGAGTAAACGCATGGCTAACAAATTGATGAGTCGTCAAGCCTCCTTCATTACATATTACATATCCGATGTTATATTTTCTATGCGACGCTGGGAAGCGGCACCAATATCCCCTACAGAGAAGTGTGGACATCAGGAGGAGCCTCTGGGCTTCAGGCTGGACCTGCAGAGATTGAGGAGCTTCATGTTAAGTCAACAGGGTTTGATTATTAGGAGCCAAACAAATTAGTGATTTACATTTTCACCCTTTTATTGTGTGTATTTTTCTGATTTTTAAACTGTCGTGAAGCACTTTGTGGCTCTTGTCTGTGAAAGGTGCTACAAATACAGAAACAGTGTTCAGGTGTCAGGACTGACACCTGAACACTGTTTCGTTGTGCACTTGTACAATGACAATAAAGCACTTACTTACTAAATAAAGATTATGTACTCACTCAAATAACGTACTCACTCACTCAAATAACATAGTAAACTTACAAAGTACATGAAATGCTGCTAAAGACAGAAACAAACTTACTTGAGGGGTTTGTTAGTTAGCATTTATCCTTGTTTTTAGTCCAGTTTTTGAAAAACCTTTTTAAAGTTTAAAAAACAACTTTTTTTTTAAACAGTTAAAAAAATAACTTTTTTAAATGATTTTTGATGCTTTACAATTCTTTTACGAAGAAAATAAGTCCATGTCCTAAAAATAGTCATTTTAAAGAAAAATATTTGCCTTAATCTGAAACTCCAGACGCCCCGTGGACCATTTTACAGGCTGCTCCTTTTACATGGTTGTCTATGGCGAAAAGGGCTTTTGAGCCGTAGGCTGCAATACCACGGCCTGCCACTAGAGCAACTCATTTCAGGAAAGGGGGCGGACCCCCCACTGGATTTGAAGCCACTGCAGTGGGCGTGGTTTCCTTGCGGATTTAAATATTTTCTATATATTTAGCTTTACACTTGGCGACACATTTAGATTTAACATTTAGATTTAACATTTAGATTTAACATTTAGATTTAACATTTAGATTTAACATTTAGATTTAACATTTAGATTTAACATTTAGATATAGATATAACATTTAGATATAGATATAATATTTAGATATAACATTTAACATTTAGATATAGATATAATATTTAGATATAACATTTAACATTTAGATATAACATTTAGATATAGATATAACATTTAGATTTAACTTTTAGATTTAACATTTAGATTTAACATTTAGATATAGATATAACATTTAGATATAGATATAATATTTAGATATAACATTTAACATTTAGATATAGATACATTTAGATATAACATTTAGATATAGATATAACATTTAGATATAGATATAACATTTAACATTTAGATATAGATATAACATTTAGATATAGATATAACATTTAGATATAACATTTAACATTTAGATATAGATATAACATTTAGATATAACATTTAACATTTAGATATAGATATAACATTTAGATATAACATTTAACATTTAGATATAGATATAATATTTAGATATAACATTTAACATTTAGATATAGATATAATATTTAGATATAACATTTAACATTTAGATATAGATATAATATTTAGATATAACATTTCACATTTAGATTTAGATATAAACATATATATATAATATTTAACATGTATTTGACAACTACATATAACGTGTTGTTTTACATGAATGTCTGTCTTAAAGGCACACCGCGGACTTTGTGACCTAAAGAGTTGACACATATGAGTTATTTTATATGAATACTTGGGCCAATATACAGCGCTTGACACTTGCAATGCTCCGAGCGGGGCTGCCCTCTTGAAATACCGCCCATGTAAGTTTCGAGCAGACGGACCGTCTGCCACCAGGTCACGTGACTTGGAAGAAAGACTTGCTTTACGGCTACAGGCGCTGATATACTCATGGAGCTAAGGCTTTTGCTACTCATTTTTCACCTGCTCGACTCCTGGTCATGGCTGAGGCAAGGAAAAGTTTTAAACCTTCGGAGGAGGCTAAAAAGAGGAAACGCGAAAGGGATCGTGCTGTAAGCTGCATGTCTGTATGAGCGCTGCTGTTCACCTGGTTCCTGGATGTCATCGACTGCAAAGATGTCATTCCACGCAGCACGAGCTAGACGCAGAACTCCCTCATCCAGGATATAGAAGTCCATGTGTGGTAGATTACTAATGCAGCGGTCTGGAGGCTGACCACAGCAAAGTCTCTCAATATCTGTAGGCATGTCTCTACAGTTTGAACACACACACCAGTGCATGCTGTCTGAATACACACTCAAAAGACACCGGCTGACTGTTGACTTTTGCGACAGTGCTGAGTTGCTTGTGGCCACTAGGGGCGCTAAACGTGAAAGTTGCAGGTCTAGCGCCCCTAGTGGCCAAGAGTTACACGGTGTGCCTTTAAATGTGAGGAAAATGTGCTAAATGTGAGGAAAGTGAGCTAAATGTAGAAAAATGTTCAGCTAAAAAATTTTAACAGAATTTTTACAATCGGCACCCCATATTGCCTTGCCTTGCCTTTCCCATGATGCACCTGTTAATATTGTAGTTCCCCAGGGTCTCCCGTAGCCATGTTCAGAGCTGTTCTTTACAGTGTTAGGGGCGGAGCCTGTGCGCGTGCGTCATGCCAACCATCAATAATCCTGTGTGTATAAGTTCTGTGTGCGTCTATGCAAAGTGAGTACCATGTGCCAATCTATATTTATGCTCCATTTATATACTTTAATGTCCGCTTCCTCCTTGTAGCTACAACACGTGGTGCGCCACGTGCATGACTGTAGGAGCACTCCATAATAAGCCCTGCTATATGTGGATAATGTACATATGTGTGTCTGTGTGTGTATAGTTTAGAACAGCCCGTTTCTGCTACACATATAGTTTGCCTTTTCATTATAAAGTTCCACGTAACACCATTTATAGAGTTAGAGCGCCCCCTTGTGGGCTACGGTTGTAATGTCACTCATTGATTACAGTGTATCTGTGTTCATAGTCTAAAAGGCTGTTTTTAATAAACATTTGATCTTTTGTGTTGATTCCAGGTAGAGGCATAAGAATCTGGCTTAACCTGCAGAAAATACATGGATTTCTTCATGAAGCCCTTCACGAGCTCTTTAGCATCATTTCTACAAGATTCTACACACGTTCTTTTACAAATGGAAGAGTGTGTGAGCCTCTGCTTGTTACTCTGGATGTAAAGTCTCTGTTCACTAATAGAGAACACACTCGGGTCTACCAGCTTTACTAATCTTTCCTGGATAAACGCTCTGACCCCACAAGCCCCTCAGTGACTTTCTGTTCTCACCCACTGGACTCTTGAAAACATTGTTCTCTTCTGGACAAACAATGAAGTGGAAACATGTGGATTCATTCCCACAGAAGTTCCATGAAACGACTTTTACAAAAGACATTCAAAAGAGAGGACCGACTGTCAAACCTTTACTTTCACTTTGAGTTTCTGAAATGTCAGAGTCAGGTTTAAGCTGGACTTTGTTTTCAAACTCACCAAGTCCAAACGTATCAACAGGTTTAATAGTGTCTACACAAACACACACACATACTCTACACATACACACACACTCACTCTACACCAGGGACGTGCAGTCAGGGGAGGCAGGGGAGGCAGAGCCTCACCTGCCATTATTGGAAACTAATAATTATTTTAGTTTAAATATATAATTTATATCCACTGTCCTATGCTTTTAATGTATATTCGGCACGGTTCCCATCAGTTTTGATCATTTCTGAAGTCAAAATCGCCGAAATCCCGTTATTCCTATTCAAAGAGACGAGGTGAGGCAGCGCTCCTGCGTGCCTCACCCCAGACCGCTCCCTCAGAGTGTGTGTGTGTGTGTCTGAGTGCACTCAGCTCGTGCAGTTGATATATCACCGTTTGTTTCAAATATCCTGCTTTAAAAACATTTTTTAAACTCCTCTTAGTGTTTAGTAGTGTATTGCACGTATGTGTGTACAATTTATATTTAGTTTAAGTCTTTTGATCGTAGATGAACACACAAGGAAAAAGCTTGGCGTGAGGCAGGCGGTATCTGTGCCTCACCGCTAGGGGTGATAGTGAGCATAAAGTTCATACCAGAGTTGCTAACAAACAATCAGCCCAAAATGCTATTTCTTTTGCTGGAAAATGGATGATTTGAATGAAGATTTTTTTTCTCAATTGGACTTTCAAACAAAGAAAGAATTAATATAGACTGGGAGACCACCACTGGACTTACGAGGTTAGTCCGGCTGCGGGGGAGGAGTTTGTTAATCTGTGTTTTATGTTGAACATTGACAGATACCGGCAAAGTAGTGCTTTTCCGAAAAACACTGATTCAAACACTGCTCAAGAGTTCTGCAACTTGTTTAAATTATTGTTTATGTTCCTCGCGTCTCTCTCTCCTCGCGTCTCTCTCTCCTCGCGTCTCCGTCTCTCTCTGCTCCTCGCGTCTCCGTCTCTCTGCTCCTCTCTGTCTCTCTCTGCCCCTCTCTCCTCGCGTCTCTCTCTCCTCGCGTCTCCGTCTCTCTCTGCTCCTCGCGTTTCCGTCTCTCTGCTCCTCTCTGTCTCTCTCTGCTCCTCTCTCCTCGCGTCTCTCTCTCCTCGCGTCTCCGTTTCTCTCTGCTCCTCGCGTCTCCGTCTCTCTGCTCCTCTCTGTCTCTCTCTGCCCCTCTCTCTCCGTCTCTCTCTCCTCGCGTCTCCGTCTCTCTCTGCTCCTCGCGTCTCCGTCTCTCTGCTCCTCTCTGTCTCTCTCTGCTCCTCTCTCCTCGCGTCTCTCTCTCCTCGCGTCTCCGTCTCTCTGCTCCTCTCTGTCTCTCTCTGCTCCTCTCTCCTCGCGTCTCTCTCTCCTCGCGTCTCCGTCTCTCTCTGCTCCTCGCGTCTCCGTCTCTCTGCTCCTCTCTGTCTCTCTCTGCTCCTCGCGTCTCCGTCTCTCTGCTCCTCTCTGTCTCTCTCTCTGCTCCTCGCGTCTCCGTCTCTCTGCTCCTCTCTGTCTCTCTCTGCTCCTCGCGTCTCCGTCTCTCTGCTCCTCTCTGTCTCTCTCTGCTCCTCTCTCCTCGCGTCTCTCTCTCCTCGCGTCTCTCGCACCTGCGCTTCTTAAAGATGTTGTTTGATGCGGAGCAGAGTCAGCAGCTAGATTTGTTGTGAGATTATTAAAAGAAGCTGGTTCTCTTATCTTTACAGTATATAAAGTTTGTGGATGTCATTGCATTGGTGATTAAATGCTATTTTATTTGAATAATGATTGTAAATCTGACTTTTAAAGTCAGTGCCTCCCCAATCACAAACCTCACCGCACGTCCCTGCTCTACACACACACACACATACTCTACACAAACACACACACTCACTCTACACAACCACACACATACTCTACACAACACACACATACTCTACACAACACACACATACTCTACACAACACACACATACTCTACACACACACACATACATACTCTACACATACATACTCTACACAAACACACACTCTACACAAACACACACTCACTCTACACACACACACATACTCTACACAACACACACATACTCTACACAACACACACATACTCTACACAACACACACATACTCTACACACACACACATACATACTCTACACAAACACACACACACATCACTCTACACAACCACACACATACTCTACACAACACACACATACTCTACACAACACACACATACTCTACACAACACACACATACTCTACACAACACACACATACTCTACACACACACACATACATACTCTACACAAACACACACTCTACACAAACACACACTCACTCTCTACACAAACACACACACTCACTCTACACACACACACACACATACTCTACACAAACACACACATACTCTACACAAACACACACATACTCTATACAAACACACACACATACTCTATACAAACACACACACTCACTCTACAGACACACACACATACTCTACACAAACACACACACTCACTCTATACACACACACACACATACTCTACACACACACACACATACTCTACACAAACACACACATACTCTACACAAACACACACATACATACTACACACACACACACATACTCTACACAAACACACACATACTCTACACAACACACACATACTCTACACAAACACACACACTCACTCTACACACACACACACACATACTCTACACAAACACACACATACTCTACACAAACACACACACTCACTCTACACACACACACACACACTCACACACACACATACATACTCTACACAAACACACACATACTCCACACAAACAGACACACTCACTCTACACACACACACACACACATACTCTACACAACACACACATACTCTACACAAACACACACACTCTACACACACACACACATACTCTACACAAACACACACACATATACTCTATACAAACACACACTCTACACACACACATACATACTCTACACAAACACACACATACTTTACACAAACACACACACATACTCCACACAAACAGACACACTCACTCTACACACACACACATACTCTACACAACACACACACACACACATACTCTACACAAACACACACATACTCTATACAAACACACACACATACTCTATACAAACACACACACATACTCTACACAAACACACACATACTCTATACAAACACACACATACTCTATACAAACACACACACATACTCTATACAAACACACACACATACTCTACACAAACACACACATACTCTATACAAACACACACATACTCTATACAAACACACACACATACTCTACACAAACACACACACTCACTCTACAGACACACACATACACGTTTTTGTTACCTTTTTTGTTTTTTTTGAATTGCAGTGATTCTATTTTTGACATAGAATTTAATGCCACTCCATGTCCGATGTCTAAGGTCATCTGGTGAGGCATTAATGCAGGCCAGGCCAGGCCAGGCCAGGCCAGGCAGTGAGACTTCCCAGGGACTTTTCCAGTCTGTATGAAAGGTGTCATGGTCTTCTCCACAGCCTTCACCTCAGATGCAGACCATGGCTTTCTCTAACGTTCTAGAGAGAGTTACGCGGCCCCGTGCTTGTAAACGAGGGGTAGGACCATATAAGCTTTTGCTTCTTCCTACTCCCTTTTGAACATGTGAATGGATAAGAAATTTTGGTTTTGTTCTACGGCTTATGTAGGAAGTATGCACATTTTTCAAAAAATAAACTAAACTGAAACTGAAACAGGGAGAGAAATAAAGATATATTAGCAATATACACTCCCAGGGTTAGGACCAAGCAGCCTGGCTGTAATCCCCCACCTGGTACACTTACCAGAAGGGGCACTGCCACTACCATGGGGTGCATCTGGATGAATGGTTGAAGGTTCTCCGCTTGAAGTTTCTTTTAGCCCGTCCGTTTGTGAGAGGATCTCTACTCAGAATCAGAATCATTTTTATTGCCAACGTAAGTAACAGGAGGTCACAGACTTGGAAATTGCTTTGGCTCAGTGCAACAGTCAGAAAGAGATAATAAAAATAAGAATAAAAAACACTTCTAAAGAATACATTTAAATTTAAAACAGAGTTACAGTTACTATTTACTATTTACAATATACAAGTGCACACAACAGGTGCACACAATGTAAGGTGACAGCAGTACAGTGAAGTAAAGTGACGTATGATGGGCAGTAAAGTGACTTTATAAAGGGCGGGGGGACAGGTTAAGAAGTGTTCAAGAGTCCAACAGCAGAGGGGAAGAAACTGTTCTTGTGGCGGGAGGTTCTAGTCCTGATGGACCGCAGTCTCCTGCCTGAGGGGAGTGGTTGGAATAGTCCATGTGCAGGTGAGAGGGGAGTGGTTGGAATAGTCCATGTGCAGGTGAGAGGGGTCGGCTGTGATACGACCAGCCCGGCCTCGAGCTCGGGCGACGTACAGGTCCTGCAGCGATGGAAGGCTGCGGCCGATCACTTCCTCTGCAGAGCGCACAATGCACTGTAGTCTCTGTTTGTCCCTGACTGTGGCTCCAGCGAACCACACGGTGATGGAGGAGGTGATGAGGAGGTGATGAGGAGGTGATGGAGGAGGTGATGGAGGAGGTGATGGAGGAGTTGATGGAGGAGGTGATGGAGAAGGTGAGGATGGACTCGATGATGGCCGTGTAGAACTGCACCAACATTTGTGCAGGCAGCTTGGCTTTCCTGAGCTGCCGCAGGAAGTACATCCTCTGCTGGGCCTTCTTGATGAGGAGCTGATGGTCGGCTCCCACTTGAGGTCCTGGTGATGGTGGTGCCCAGGAAACGGAAGGACTCCACAGAGGTGATGGGGGAGTCCATCACGGAGGGTGGAGGCGGGGGGACAGTGCTCTTCCTGAAGTCCACAATCATCTCCACTGTCTTCTGGGCGTTCAGCTCCAGGTTGTTACCACTGCACCAGGACACCAGCCGGTCCACCTCCCTCCTGTAGGCGGACTCATCGTTGTTGGAGATGAGTCCAATGAGGGTGGTGTCGTCCGCGAACTTGATCAGCTTCACGGAGTCGTGGCTGGAGGTGCAGTGGTTGGTGTACAGGGAGAAGAGCAGGGGAGAAAGAACACAGCCCTGTGGGGCTCCTGTATTTATAATCCGAGAGTCCGAGACATTCTTCCCCAGACGCACTCGCTGCTTCCTGTCCGTCAGGAAGTCAGTGATCCACCTGCAGGTGGAATCGGGCACGTTGAGCTGGGAGAGCTTGTCCTGGAGCAGGGATGGCAGGATCGTGTTGAAGGCAGAGCTGAAGTCCACGAACAGGACCCTGGCGTAGGTCCCCGGGGAGTCCAGTGCTGTAGGATGTGGTGGAGGGCCAGGTTAATGGCGTCGTCTACAGGTCTGTTGGCTCTGTAGGTGAACTGCAGGGGGTCCAGGAGGGGGGAGGTGAACTGCAGGGGGTGAACTGCAGGGGTCCAGGGGGGGAGGTGAACTGCAGGGGGTCCAGGAGGGGGGAGGTGAGGGACTTGAGATGGGAGAGAACCAGGCGTTCAAATGACTTCATGACGACAGACATAAGTGCTACAGGTCTGTAGTCGTTGAGTCCTGTGATCCTGGGCTTCTTCGGGACGGGGACAATGATGGAGGATTTGAAGCAGGCCGGGACATGGCAGGACTGCAGAGAGGTATTGAAAATGTCAGTGAACACAGGAGTAAGCTCACTGGCGCAGTGAACCATACGCGGACAGGACAGGACCATAGACACTCGGACAGGACCATAGACACTCGGACAGGACCATAGACAGAACGGACAGGACCATAGACACTCGGACAGGACCATAGACAGAACCATAAGCGGACAGGACCATAGACAGAACCATACGCGGACAGGACCATAGACAGAACCATACGCGGACAGGACCATAGACAGAACCATACGCGGACAGGACCATAGACAGAACCATACACGGACAGGACCATAGACAGAACCATACGCGGACAGGACCATAGACACTCGAACAGGACCATAGACAGAACCATACGCGGACAGGACCATAGACAGAACCATACGCGGACAGGACCATAGACACTCGGACAGGACCATAGACAGAACCATACGCGGACAGGACCATAGACAGAACCATACGCGGACAGGACCATAGACAGAACCATATGAGGACAGGACCATAGATACTCGGACAGGACCATAGACAGAACCATACGCGGACAGGACCATAGACAGAACCATACGCGGACAGGACCATAGACAGAACCATACGCGGACAGGACCATAGACAGAACCATACGCGGACAAGACCATAGACACTCGGACAGGACCATAGACAGAACCATACGCGGACAGGACCATAGACAGAACCATACGAGGACAGGACCATAGACACTCGGACAGGACCATAGACAGAACCATACGCGGACAGGACCATAGACACTCGGACAGGACCATAGACACTCGGACAGGACCATAGACACTCAGACAGGACCATAGACAGAACCATACGCGGACAGGACCATAGACACTCGGACAGGACCATAGACAGAACCATACGCGGACAGGACCATAGACACTCGGACAGGACCATAGACAGAACCATACGCGGACAGGACCATAGACAGAACCATGCGCGGACAGGACCATAGACAGATCCATACACGGACAGGACCATGGACAGAACCATACGCGGACAGGACCATAGACACTCGGACAGGACCATAGACAACCATACGCGGACAGGACCATAGACAGAACCATACGCGGACAGGACCATAGACAGGACCATAGACACTCGGACAGGACCATAGACAGAACCATACGCGGACAGGACCATAGACAGAACCATACGCGGACAGGACCATAGACAGAACCATACGCGGACAGGACCATAGACAGAACCAAATGAGGACAGGACCATAGATACTCGGATAGGACCATAGACAGAACCATACGCGGACAGGACCATAGACAGAACCATACGCGGACAGGACCATAGACAGAACCATATGCGGACAGGACCATAGACAGAACCATGCGCGGACAGGACCATAGACACTCAGACAGGGCCATAGACAGAACCATACGCGGACAGGACCATAGACACTCGGACAGGACCATAGACAGAACCATACGCGGACAGGACCATAGACAGAACCATACGAGGACAGGACCATAGACACTCGGACAGGACCATAGACAGAACCATACGCGGACAGGACCATAGACACTCGGACAGGACCATAGACACTCGGACAGGACCATAGACAGAACCATACGCGGACAGGACCATAGACACTCGGACAGGACCATAGACACAACCATACGCGGACAGGACCATAGACACTCGGACAGGACCATAGACAGAACCATACGCGGACAGGACCATAGACAGAACCATACGCGGACAGGACCATAGACACTCGGACAGGACCATAGACAGAACCATACGCGGACAGGACCATAGACACTCGGACAGGACCATAGACAGAACCATACGCGGACAGGACCATAGACACTCGGACAGGACCATAGACAGAACCATACGTGGACAGGACCATAGACACTCGGACAGGACCATAGACAGAACCATACGCGGAAAGGACCATAGACACTCGGACAGGACCATAGACAGAACCATACGCGGACAGGACCATAGACACTTGGACAGGACCATAGACAGAACCATACGCGGACAGGACCATAGACAGAACCATACGAGGACAGGACCATAGACACTCGGACAGGACCAAAGACAGAACCATACGCGGACAGGACCATAGACAGAACCATACGAGGACAGGACCATAGACACGCGGACAGGACCATAGACAGAACCATACGCGGACAGGACCATAGACACTCGGACAGGACCATAGACAGAACCATAAGCGGACAGGACCATAGACACTCGGACAGGACCATAGACAGAACCATGCGCGGACAGGACCATAGACACTCGGACAGGACCATAGACAGAACCATACGCGGACAGGACCATAGACAGAACCATACGCGGACAGGACCATAGACAGAACCATACACGGACAGGACCATAGACAGAACCATACACGGACAGGACCATAGACAGAACCATACGCGGACAGGACCATAGACAGAACCATACGCGGACAGGACCATAGACAGAACCATACGCGGACAGGACCATAGACAGAACCATACGCGGACAGGACCATAGACAGAACCATACGCGGACAGGACCATAGACAGAACCATACGCGGACAGGACCATAGACAGGACCATAGACACTCGGACAGGACCATAGACAGAACCATACGCGGACAGGACCATAGACAGAACCATACGCGGACAGGACCATAGACAGAACCATACGCGGACAGGACCATAGACAGAACCATATGAGGACAGGACCATAGATACTCGGACAGGACCATAGACAGAACCATACGTGGACAGGACCATAGATAGAACCATACGCGGACAGGACCATAGACAGAACCATACACGGACAGGACCATAGACAGAACCATACGCGGACAGGACCATAGACAGAACCATACGCGGACAGGACCATAGACAGAACCATACGCGGACAGGACCATAGACAGAACCATGCGCGGACAGGACCATAGACAGAACCATACGCGGACAGGACTATAGACACTCGGACAGGACCATAGACAGAACCATACGCGGACAGGACCATAGATACTCGGACAGGACCATAGACAGAACCATACGCGGACAGGACCATAGACAGAACCATACACGGACAGGACCATAGACAGAACCATACGCGGACAGGACCATAGACAGAACCATACGCGGACAGGACCATAGACACTCGGACAGGACCATAGACAGAACCATACGCGGACAGGACCATAGACAGAACCATACGCGGACAGGACCATAGACAGAACCATACGAGGACAGGACCATAGACACTCGGACAGGACCATAGACAGAACCATACGCGGACAGGACCATAGACAGAACCATACGCGGACAGGACCATAGACAGAACCATACGCGGACAGGACCATAGACACTCGGACAGGACCATAGACAGAACCATACGCGGACAGGACCATAGACACTCGGACAGGACCATAGACAGAACCATGGGACAGGACCATAGACACTCGGACAGGACCATAGACAGAACCATACGCGGACAGGACCATAGACAGAACCATACGCGGACAGGACCATAGACAGAACCATACGCGGACAGGACCATAGACAGAACCATACGCGGACAGGACCATAGACACTCGGACAGGACCATAGACAGACAGGACCATAGACAGAACCATACGGGACAGGACCATAGACAGAACCATACGCGGACAGGACCTTTAATGATGATAGATTAGGGCCCTTAAATGATGACAGATTAGGGCCCTTTAATGATGACAGATTAGGGCCCTTTAATGATGACGGATTAGGGCCCTTTAATGATGACAGATTAGGGCCCTTTAATGATGACAGATTAGGGCCCTTTAATGATGACAGATTAGGGCCCTTTAATAATGACGGATTAGGGCCCTTTAATAATGACAGATTAGGGCCCTTTAATGATGACAGATTAGGGCCCTTTAATGATGACAGATTAGGGCCCTTTAATGATGACAGAGTAGGGCCCTTTGATGATAGATCAGATTGTGACTCACAGGGACTTGTACCTTTGATCCGCAGGAGTCCCCAGTAACGAGAACCACCTGCTCGTCATCGTCATCATCTCGGTCGGAGCCTTCACCATCATCATAGTCATCGTCGGAGCCTTCCTCTGTACCAGACGCACCAACTCACACCAGAAGAAGTAAGAGAGACCAGAGAGAGAGACCAGAGAGAGTGACCAGAGAGAGTGACCAGAGAGAGAGACCATAGAGAGAGACCAGAGAGAGAGACCAGAGAGAGAGACCAGAGAGAGAGACCAGAGAGAGAGACCAGAGAGAGAGACCAGAGAGAGAGACCAGAGAGAGAGACCAGAGAGAGAGACCAGAGAGAGATGTATGTAACATCATATGATGTTAATGCTTTACCTTTTGTATGAGCTGTGCTAGACAAATAATTTATTATTTCCAACCACTTACACTCTCTCTCTATCTCTCTCTCTCTCTCTCTCTCCCTCCTCTCGCCCTCCCTCTCTCTCTCACCCTCTCCCTCTGTCTCTCTCTCCCCCTCTCTCTCTCTCTCTCCCTTTCTCACTCTCTCCCCCTCTCCCTCTCCCTCTCTCTCCCTCTCTCCCTCTCTCCCCCTCTCCCCCTCTCTCTTTCTCCCTCTCTCCTCCTCTCCCTCTCTCTCTCTCTCTCTCTCTCTCTCAGAAAACGCGCCGCCTCCAAGTCCTCCAATGGTTCGCACAAGTACAAGGGTAACTCCAAAGACCTGAAGCCTCCAGACCTGTGGATCCATCACGAGAGGCTGGAGCTGAAGCCCATGGACAAGTCCCCGGACCCCAACCCCGTGATGACGGAGACCCCCATCCCCCGCTCGTCCCAGGACATCACCCCCGCGGACAGCGTGATCGAGGCCAGCCACCTGCAGCAGCGACGCAACTCCTACAGAGGTCGGTTCATTCATGTAGTATCCACAAGTACCCTGGTCTGACCACACCACTGTACTGGTCTGACCACACCACTGTACTGGTCTGACCACACCACTGTACTGGTCTGACCACACCACTGTACTGGTCTCACACACACAGACATAGAGACACACACACACACAGACACACACACACACACACACAGACACACACACACACAGAGACACACAGACATAGAGACACACACACACACACACACATACACGTTTTTGTTACCTGGTGGGTCCCTTTGACAGGGCCGTTCAGAATGGGACCCATAGACATAATCTTTTTTTACCAAGACTTTAAGTAATACAAAACAGTCAATAGAAACCAAACAACTATTTTAAAGGAATTTTATTTTAGATTTTGTTTTCGAATTGCAGTGATTCTATTTTTGACATAGAATTTAATGCCACTCCATGTCCGATGTCTAAGGTCATCTGGTGAGGCATTAATGCAGGCCAGGCAGTGAGACTTCCCAGGGACCTTTCCAGTCTGTATGAAAGGTGTCATGGTCTTCTCCACAGCCTTCACCTCAGATGCAGACCATGGCTTTCTTACACGTTCTAGGGAGAGAAATAAAAATATATTAGCAATATACACTCCCAGGGTGAGGACCAAGCAGCCTGGCTGTAATCCCCCACCTGGTACACTTACCAGAAGGGGCACTGCCACTACCATGGGGTGCATCTGGATGAATGGTTGAAGGTTCTCCGCTTGAAGTTTCTTTTAGCCCGTCCGTTTGTGAGAGGATCTCTACTGCTCTCCCTGTCGCACAGAAAATAAAAATACAAGTGGCCTTTAGGGGAAAAAAATCATACATATTTTAATAATATCAAGAATTACCTTCAGGCTCAATTTGTATCTGGTCGAGGCTCTTTCCTTCGAATTCCGTCACTCTTCCCTGCTCCATGGCCATCAACACTTTGCTGATTTTGGCCAGCTCCAGTGTCCCCTCTGGTAGTCTGTAATATTGCCTGTGGATGCGAATGTCATGGCCGAGGAAGTTGGCAAGTATGTCCATCTCATTCTCTTTCATATTGAGAACTGTAGACATAGTAGCTATGTGCTTTCTAAGTTTGGTTGAGGATAGCATCTCTGGATGCACCGCACCACATTCTTTGGCTACCTGGCGTAGGGAGTCTGATCCCCTGATGTGGGTGTCTGCGCCCGGGCGGGAAAAGAAGTATGGGTTATGGTCAGAGATGGAACAGGCCCTTCTGTTCTCCACCAGCACCTCCATCGAAGCAATCATTTCAGGAGTCAAAAGAACCGGCACTTTCCGACTTCTTTTCCCTTTAATTTCAATGCGTTGAAAATGCTGACACAGCTTTTTCTCAAGTTGGGACAGTCCCAGAGCAATGTCAGAATGGATCCCAGTCTTACTTCTTAAGGTAAAGGCTGTCAGTGGCATCTTTGAAACCTCACCTTCCCTTCTTCGATTGAAAATGATGACCTCACAAAGAGTCAAAACTGCCAGTTTAGACCAATGCTTAGACGTTGGCTCACTTATTAGGGTTTGCACATATTCAGGTCGACATACCTCAATATGTGCATGCATGGCTCTAACGTCCTCAGTCAGAGGGAGCAGGTCCGGAGTGTTCCACTTGGCTTGCCGGAGGGTCTGTAGGGCAGCAGAAGAAACACAGACGTCCCACCTCTTCTCAAAAAGCAGCCGGCTTCGTTGGAGGTTTTTAATAAATAGTTCATCAACACAATGCTCCATTTTTGAGTCACATTCAAGAATATCTGCTAGCTTTCTGAGGCTATGGCCGAGTTTGAGGGCCAAGGATGGAGTCTTGTATTGATTTGTTTCCTCATCATATCCAGCCACAGACCTGACTGCATCAATCACATGGTTAAAGTTGGAAGGAATAAAGAAATCCTTAATTGTTTTCAGTTTCCCTGCGGTTTTTGCTTCGTTAATTAACCTACCGACTTCTCTCATTTCCTGCCTAATGTAATCATGCTTAGTCTTATCATGCCCGTGTTTTAAGTACAGGTGCTCTCCGAGTCTCAGAATCCCCTTTTCTGCTTTGACAACACCCGTGACCTCATCCTGATGCATTGCCGAAATTAAAGACCACAGCTTTTTGCTGATGCCCTCCGGTACAGGCTGGGCTAGGGAGCAGAGGGACTGGACCCTACTTCTACCTGGTTTAGCCTGGGCATCTTTCTGTGAAAGCCGGCACCTGGCCACATGCCTCCACAGCGACTTTCGCTTAAGCAATGCCCCACAGTCTATACAGTGCAAAAACTCACTGGATTTAACTGGGGAATTTGGCTGTTTAGCTGGGACTAAAGTTCCAATGCCGGCCTTTAAAACCTCAAAATTGTGCTCACGGTTTCCACTATTCCTGATCAAATCAAACTGAAGTTTACGTGCTTTAGATTTCACAGGTAGAGCCAATGCTCTGGCTACGTCACTTTCATTTCCATGTTTTCTAGTCAAATGACGGGACATTTTGTGGCAGGACATTGAACAGTAGAGGCAGAAGTGTCTCTTGCTGTATACTCGCCCCCCATTTTTCTTCTTTTGCAGCTGCATGATAACAATCTTATTTGCCTTTGGTTCGTCACTTTCCGAGTCTTGAAGAAAAGTGTTTTTGATTTTTCTTTTTCCATACTTTTTTACAGGTTTCTTCTTGACAGTTAAATCGTCAGAATCTGAGTCGACTTCATCAATTAGGGACTCTTGACTAAGCTGCACAAACAACAAATAATTTGTAATCATTCTATATAACAATTTGAAGTCATGACTTGTAGTCAGCACTTACCAGTGGTTTGTAAGCGTGCGCTTCAGTGTGCTCCTCCATGATTTCTTGCAGCCTAATGAACCACACACTTGCACCTTTTTCTAGCCTGACACCTGATTTCCTCTGTTGTGCTGCTCCATGATTGGCTCCAGCCTGCTGGACTGAAATTGCCCCAGTGTGCCCCTCCTTGATATCCCGCAACCCACCACCAGGGTTCCGACACATAACACACTTTTTTCAGGAAAGTAAACCTCCAGGGGTCCTTTCCATATTTTTACAGAGACTGCATAAGGACCGTTAGAAAAGCATTACCCATTGATTATTAAGCTTGGACCAGTGGGGTCCGGTGTTCGGGCCCCACCACGTAAAACCAGTCCCCATGACGTGAGTGGAATCTCAGGTTATGGAACCCACCAGGAGTTGAAAACAAGTGCACACACACACACACACAGAGACACACAGACACAGAGACACACAGACATAGAGACACACACACACACACACACACACACACACACACACACACACACACACACACACACACACACAGACACACACACACACACACACACACACACACACACACACACACAGACATAGAGACACACACACACACACACACTTACTGGGCAAAGGCAAACTTCCTGAAGTAAATTAGATGCAATACTTTTATTTTAAAAGACAGAATTCTTTCCATAACATCACAGACTTCACAGAGGATGGAGCTAAAAACAACCTCAGGTCTGTTTCTGACGATGAGAGAAACAAACACGTTTCCTCCAAATAGCTACAGAGAGAGTTCAGAGCAAAGTCTGCCTCCTGCAGAGAGCGCCCCCCTGTGGAGAACCTCTGAGCAGCTTCAAAGACCCGCTCTCTCACCTGCTCCACACTCTCTGACTCAGACTAAGACTCAGACTCAGGCTCAGGCTCAGGCTCAGGCTCAGGCTCAGACTCAGGCTCAGGCTCAGGCTCAGGCTCAGACTCAGACTCAGACTCAGACTCAGACTAAGACTCAGACTCAGACTCAGACTCAGGCTCAGGCTCAGACTCAGGCTCAGACTCAGACTCAGACTCAGACTCAGACTCAGACTAAGACTCAGACTCAGACTCAGGCTCAGGCTCAGGCTCAGGCTCAGGCTCAGGCTCAGGCTCAGGCTCAGGCTCAGGCTCAGGCTCAGGCTCAGGCTCAGGCTCAGGCTCAGACTCAGACTCAGACTGCCCCCGATGCGAGAGGAGAGAGGACAGAAACCATTGCAGCTCCAGAGACTCGGGAAATGTCCAAAATGTTGCTGAGAAAATACACTTTCATGTTTTTGGAGTCAAATTTACATGAAGATGAAGAGATCCTTTGTGCGTCCCACTGTGAGGAAATGTCAGTGTTGCATCATCAGTTACAAAACACTGGGACCAGGGACCAGGGCAGCTCCTGTGCAGAGGGTGAGGAGTGGGACGAGGGTCTTATACGAGAGGAAAGTGTCATCTGTGGACATCCCATGCTTGTGCATCTCCTCTCTTCCTCTCTCTCTCTCCTCCCTCTCCTCTGTCTCCCCCCTCCCTCTCCTCTCTCTCTCCCCTCTCTCCTCTCTCTCTCCCCTCCCTCTCCTCTCTCTCTCATCCCGCTCTCCCCTCTCCCTCTCTCTCCTCCCTCTCCTCTCTCCTCTGTCTCCCCCCTCCCTCTCCTCTCTCTCCCCTGTCTCTCCTCTCTCTCTCGCTCCCTCTTCTCTCTCTCTCTCTCCTCCCTCTCGTCTGTCTCCCCTTCCCTCTCCTCTCTCTCTCCTCTCTTTCCCCTCTCTCTCCTTCCTCTCCTCTGTCTCCCCCCTCCCTCTCCTCTCTCCCCCCTCCCTCTCCTCTCTCTCCTCTCTCTCTCGCCTCCCTCTTCTGTCTCTCTCCCTCCCTCTCGTCTGTCTCCCCCTCCCTCTCCTCTCTCTCCCCTCTCTCTCCTCTCTCTTCTCCCTCTCCTCTCTCTTTCCCCTCTCTCTCCTTCCTCTCCTCTGTCTCCCCCCTCCCTCTCCTCTCTCTCCCCTCCCTCTCTCTCTCTCCTCCTCTCCTCTCTCTCCTCTCTCCCCTGTCTCTCCTGTCTGTCTCCTCCCTCTCCTCTGTCTCCCCCCTCTCCTCTCTCTCTCTCTCTCTCTCTCTCTCCTCTCTCTCCCCTCTCTCTCCTCTCTCTTCTCCCTCTCCTCTCTCTCCTCTCTCTCTCTCTCCTCCCTCTTCTCTCTCTCTCTCTCCTCCCTCTCGTCTGTCTCCCCCTCCCTCTCCTCTCTCTCCCCTCTCTCCCCTCTCTCTTCTCTCTCTCTCTCTCTCTCCTCTCTCTCTCTCCTCTCTCTACTCTCTCTCCCCTCTCTCCTCTCTCTCCTCTCTCTCTCCTCTCTCTCCTCTCTCTCTCGCCTCCCTCTTCTCTCTCTCTCTCTCTCCTCCCTCTCCTCTCTCTCCCCTCTCTCTCCTCTCTCTTCTCTCTCTCTCCTCTCTCCTCGCTCTCTCTCCTCTCTCTCTCCTCTCTCCTCTCTGCTCTCTCTTCTCTCTCTCCTCCCTCTCTCCTCTCTCTCTCCTCTCTCTCTCCCCTCTCTCCTCTCTCTCTCCTCTCTCTCCTCTCTCTCCTCTCTCTCTCCCCTCTCTCTCCTCCCTCTCCTCTCTCTCTCCCCTCTCTCCTCTCTCTCTCCTCTCTCTCTCTCTCTCTCTCCTCTCTCCTCTCTCTCCCCTCTCTCCTCCCTCTCCTCTCTCTCTCATTGCGTCTCATTGTGTCACATTGTGTGTCATTGTGTGTCATTGTGTGTCATCGTGTCTCATTGTGTCTCATTGTGTGTCATTGTGTGTCATTGTGTCTCATTGTGTGTCATTGTGTGTCATTGTGTGTCATTGTGTGTCATTGCTTCATGTGTCGTACGCAGCGGTCATCTCAGCTCACCCCATCCACTCCCTGGACTCGCTCCAGCCTCAGCACTACCACAGCCTGGCCTCGCCCACGCGCACCTACCTGTACCACCCCCAGGCCAGTGGAGGGCGCTACCACCCCTGTGCCTCCCCCATCGCTCACCTGTCCCGGGGCGAGTCTATAGGTGAGGCCTTCCATCTCACTCACTGTGGCTCCTGCTCCGCTCTGACCCGCTGTGGAGAGTGTGTGACCTGAGGCTGTGTTTAACCACTTTTGTAGTTTTTACCCATGTTACACATTTATTTTATAATACGGTTCCTTCTGGTTCTTGTTATACTCAGCCACCTTTCCTGGTTAGCGTGGTTAGCACACTCACTTCTCGGCAAGAAGGTCTTGGGTTCGATTCCCGGTCGGAACAGGGCCTCTCTGAGTGGAGTTTGCATGTTCTTACCATGTCCGCATAGGTTTCCTCCGAGTGCTCCGGTTTCCCCTTCCAACCAAAACCATGTACCATGTCTGAATGAAATGAGTGAATGAGTGAACGGAGGGTGTTTGGTCGGAGGCTTTGATGGACCAGTGTGTTCAGGTCTCGCTTCACCGTGTGGAGAGAATGGAACAATATCTGAACTCTGAACATTGTAAAGCGCTTTGGTCTGTAAAATGCAAAGACACATTTTGACAAATTTGAGCATTTTTAGATGTATTACTTAACACTTTTTGCAGTGTATCTTAGGTTTATTTTTGATACAGAACAATGTAACATGGTTAAATACTGAACATTATTTAGTTCCAAACAGGTTTCCTTCCTCCTTCTTGTGGACTCTGTTCTGCCGTTATGTTTATGGTATCTGCTGTACAGCGTCACTCTCCTGTCTCTTTACCCTCCTTCTTGCACACCTGGTTCCACAGAAGTGTCGTGGCATCTATAGTGCCACATGGTTCTCGTCTCCCTTCCTTAGTGTCGTAGCATCTATAGTGCCACATGGTTCTCGTCTCTCTTCCTTCCTTAGTGTCGTAGCATCTATAGTGCCACATGGTTCTCGTCTCCCTTCCTTCCTTAGTGTGGTGCATCTATAGTGCCACATGGTTCTCGTCTCCCTTCCTTAGTGTGGTGGCATCTATAGTGCCACATGGTTCTCGTCTCCCTTCCTTCCTTAGTGTGGTGGCATCTATAGTGCCACATGGTTCTCGTCTCCCTTCCTTCCTTAGTGTGGTGGCATCTATAGTGCCACATGGTTCTCGTCTCTCTTCCTTCCTTAGTGTCGTAGCATCTATAGTGCCACATGGTTCTCGTCTCTCTTCCTTCCTTAGTGTGGTGGCATCTATAGTGCCACATGGTTCTCGTCTCCCTTCCTTAGTGTGGTGGCATCTATAGTGCCACATGGTTCTCGTCTCCCTTCCTTCCTTAGTGTGGTGCATCTATAGTGCCACATGGTTCTCGTCTCCCTTCCTTAGTGTGGTGGCATCTATAGTGCCACATGGTTCTCGTCTCCCTTCCTTAGTGTGGTGGCATCTATAGTGCCACATGGTTCTCGTCTCCCTTCCTTCCTTAGTGTGGTGGCATCTATAGTGCCACATGGTTCTCGTCTCCCTTCCCCCCTCCTTCTTGCACACCTGGTTCCATAGTAGTGTTGTGGCATCTATAACGTGACCCTCTTGTCTCCCTCAGAGTCGGTGAGGAACACGCCGTGCTCGGACGCCCCTCCCCCGGCCTCCTCGCTCTCCTCGCAGCTCTCCTCGCAGCTCTCCTCGCAGCTCTCCTCGCAGCTCTCCTCGCAGCTCTCCTCGCAGCTCTCCTCGCAGCTCTCCTCGCACATATCTCATTCTTCTGTTCTTTAACTGGTAATACAACACTGACATTTCCCTTGCACTTTACAGCTTCCGAACTAAAGACCTGCTGAGCTTTGGAGACCAGACCAGGCCAGGTTTAAGACCTATTTTATACATGGTCCAGAATTATGATCACATGGTCAGACAGTGGCCCCGACTTGGCCCCGACTTAGCCCCGACTTAGCCCCGACTTAGCCCCGACTTAGCCCCGACTTAGCCCCGACTTAGTCCCGACCTATGTGTCTCTCCCCTGGTCTCTCCCCTGGTCTCTCCCCTGGTCTCTCCCCTGGTCTCTCACCTGGTCTCTCCCCTGGTCTCTCCCCTGGTCTATACCATTCAATCCAAACGGGGGGAAAACAAAAAGATGCAACTGTGATTTCCGTGGACACAAAATGGCGTCTTGTGCCCGAGAAGCATTCACGTCCCCCAGCAACAAACTGCTTTCTTCTTCTACAAGTACCTTTTCTCAGGACGGACGCAGCCAATCAGAGGAAGGGCAGTCACGGCCAGACACCGGAGCACGCCGTCCATGTGGATGGAACTCTTTGGGACCAGATTGTGAACTTTGTTGTTTTTAGGACGGACACAGAATGACTCCTCTGCTCTGAGCGTGTTCATGGTTCTGTTCATGGTTCTGTTCACCTGTATGTATTCTGTATTCTTTTATTTTTTACACCTGTATCCGTATCTACATGTACATATGTTATTTTTATTCTGTCGTTTGATGGTTCAGAAGTTTACTCAAATTGTAACACAAAAATGCTGGTGCGAGGCCACGCGGAAAAGTCACTGATGTCATATGTTCATAACCCTTTAGCATTAGGCATTAGGCATTAGGCAAGGCAAGGGTCAAATAGTGACTCACAGGGACTGTTGGATCACGTCAGCACAATGACCTGGGGAGATGACGTCGGATTTATCCACAATAAACACATTTCTCACACTTTTTCTATCGCGACAAACAACATTTCAGTCTCGAAACAAAACTTTAGGTTCAGCAGCTTTAAGTTTCTAATAAATAATGTTTAACTGTTTTTCATCACAACAATTCTATTCTATGTTTTTAGCCTCGTCAAAGGACTTTACCAAGTTGTCGATTCGTCGACACGGATCAGAAAATCAAACAGACACAGTGGTCTCTCTCTGGTCTCTCTCTGGTCTCTCTCTGGTCTCTCTCTGGTCTCTCTCTGGTCTCTCTCTGGTCTCTCTCTGGTCTCTCTCTCTGGTCTCTCTCTGGTCTCTGTCTGGTCTCTCTGGTCTCTCTCTGGTCTCTCTCTGGTCTCTCTCTGGCCTCTCTCTGGTCTCTCTCTGGTCTCTCTCTGGTCTCTCTCTGGTCTCTCTCTGGTCTCTCTCTGGTCTCTCTCTGGTCTAAACAGTGAAAATAGTCATTCTCACCTAAACAACATCTTAACATCAAAAACATCAAATATCAGATTTAGTTTCTAATGAGTTCAGTTCGAATCTCATTTAATATTTCAGTTTTTATTTTGTATAAATTGTATGAAATAAACTTTTAGCACAGGTACAAAAGCACTGAGCCGTGTTATACTTTTACTTTCACTTTCAAAGGCTCATAATCTCACCTTTTCCCGCGTGGCCCGGTTCAAACCTCTGCATTGCTGTATATTTTTATATGCTGTTTTTTGACGACTGAATGGAAGGATCTCACCGTTTCCATGGTTACCACTTTGAATATACGTCATTTTAAAACAAAGTCTCCTCCTCCCTCTCTACGATGCAGATTAAAGGGAAATGTCTGGGAGTTTTTGATATATATTTTTACTCCATTTTCTGGCTGATAACCAGGAAAGCCTTGTTCTCATGTTGGGTTTGTGCGACAGGATCCTTGGGTTGTGTTCTTCTTCTAGGATTGTGTTTCTTTCTAAAGATCATTATTGACGGTTCTCTGTACGGCTGCGCTGTTACGAATGTGTCCACAAAGTCCGTATTCTCACTTGGCATAAAGTCATTTTTTTAATAATATTGGGTTGTTTTTGTGGTTTGTGCTGATTGACAAGGGGGCGGGGTCTAGCTATGATGTCACAGATCGGAGAGATTCGACCCGGAGCGTTCTGTGAGGGCCAGAGCAGAACATAGAGTGAAAAGTGATGAGAAAATAGTCTAAAAATGCTGAAATTAGGCAAAACATGTGTCTTAATTTGGGATTAGATCGATTTAAGAGTTTTAAGACTTTTTCAAGTGTATCTGTCTGCGGCCTGCAGTACGGAGGCGTGTCGAGTAGTGGGCGTGTCGGGTAGTGACGTCACTACTCGACACGCCCACTCCGCGTGTATGAGCATGGATCTATTATAATACGGGTATGAGTAGTAGTGAGTACTATCTATGCCCAATGAATTTATGCGCAATAATGAATTTTTTGGCGCATGTCATTGTCAATATTATTTATTGGGGGAAAATGGACGAATTTTGTAAATATAAAAGTAGTAAATTTGCCTACAAAAGCTGCCATTACTTCAGACTATCAATCAATAGGGATTTGAAGCAGCTCAGGACAAAAGTTAATGAGTCAAATAATGCCAGTGCTTATGTCTAATGTGTACATTCATTTATAAAAGGGGCCTATGGTTGGTGGCTCAAATCCTGGCTGCCCCAAGTGCAGTCTGGTATGTTCTTGAGCAATGCACTTCACCCACATGTGTGGACATAGTGAGAGACTGCTTGGTGGTGGCCAATAGCACAGATTAGTAGCCTGGCATCCTCCAACCCAGCTGTGACACACTGTGTGGAATAAATGAATAAAGACTAGTGTGGCGTTTTGAGAAACTTGTCAACACAGGATTGAAAAGTACATTACAAGTTAAAGATATTATTACACCACCACCACCACCACACACTCCTACACCCATGGTCTCCACATTACTGATCATAAAGAGAACATGCCATAACATTTTTGTGCCCAACTTTGGCCTTTTGGGACAAGCAGACATTCATTACTATTGTGTTTTGTCAAATTTGTATGTAGAAGAGGGAGATTAAACAAAAAGAACAAATTGTTTTCTGGCATTTTATGTACATGCTTTTTTATGAATTTGTGTTATCTGAATGGCTCTGAAATGTAGACACTGAATAAGTTCAACACAAAACAAATATTGCAACAAATTCTCTTTTATTATAATCGTGAGAGAAAGGCTTCAGAGGAGAGCGCCAATCTCCATCTCTCTTGGAAAGCTTTCAGCCTCCCTGCTGCCTCCTCTGGTAAATGCCTCACCAGATCATTTGCAATCATTTTAAACTCACTGTCCATAAAGAACAATCACAGATTAGATTGTGCAGTGCACAGTGAAATATGTCCATCAATATTTAAATAATCTTACCATGGTTCATACTTTGGCCCCTTTATGAATTTTTCAATTGCCTCTTGCTGAGGCAGGTGAAATGCCTCGGCCAGAGTGTGAACTGTCACCTAGATAAGAGTAAAATGTGTTACATTCAACAACAACAGTTCACAAAACCAAATGCAGCCCTAAAAGGTGTTGTGTCCTGTTTAATATATTGTCAGTGACTTGCACTTATGACTTTATGGTCTCTGTACATCAACAATGTTGCAATGCAGAGTTTTTAGTACAGTGTACGTCCAGGAAACATGTACCATGACATGTTTATGTTTGAGGGGGGTTCAGTGTTTTATGCACACTTTCATTACAATAGTCCCTGTGCCAGCCTGGTGGCGCTCGGGCCTACTAATGTAAAACAAACATTATATAAATCATGCTATACTTCCGGTAAGAGCGTGTAGACCAATCAGAAAGGAAGGGGGAGGGAGCTTGGGTTGTTTTTTTTTTTCAAATCAAGTACCTCTCTGGCCCAGTCCCAATACCCACACTGCACCCTACGCACTCCTATGAAGTGTGCATTTGTTTGAAGTGCACACCAGGGTTGGAGTGCGCAGGTTACAAGTGTGCAAAAAAGGCGGAATTGGGACAGTGCACACTGAGTGCAGGTTACGTCATCGACTCGTCAAGAGATGGTCATTTTCAGACCTAAACTTTATAAAAAATTAAAGGTAACTTTGTCTGACCCTTTGGGAAACAAAATGAATTGCTTCACACACGTTAAAATACATGTATATTAGTTGTTTTTAATTAGAGATAGCTGTATAATTTTAAGTTAAATGTGGGTAACTAACTATCTGGTCAGTTTTTATACATTCTAAGATTATTGTACTAAGTGTAAAGTTTAAATTGAATGTTATATAAACGCTTGCTTTAAAAAGTTATTAAATTGTTAAAACACAATGTCCGTAATTCTTCATCAAACGTTTATGCTTCTTTCCAAGTAATATAGCAAAACTTATTTACACACATACTGCATATATATTTCAAAATTTATATTTAAATGCATTTTCCCGACGTTTTGGTGTGTACCGCAAAGAATTATGGGCAATATCCTTCGCCAGAGTGCGCATAGATGCAGGCTACGGCGAAGTGTGGATCAGGGGCGCAAAGGGGGCGGGGCCAAAGACCTCCCTGGAGAATTGGGACACCCTACGCACTCGCACCCTTTATCGGGAACGCGCAAATGAGGGGCGCGAGGGTGGAAGTGCGAGTATTGGGACGGGGCCTCTGTCTCTCTTTCTGACAAACTCTAGACCAGTGTCTCCCAAAGTGGGGTCCGCGGCCCCCTGGTGGGCCGCGAGGGTACTGCAGGGGGGCCGCGGGAGGTCATAAAAAAAAATAAAAAAATAATATAATTATTTAATGTTAAATTTATAATGTTTTGTTTGTAATATTAAAATATTTGTGTTCATTATTTGACTTGAATAATCCACTGTAATCATTTTTGTATTACAATGTTTGTAGCAGAGGCTATTTCCCCAAAATAAAATAACCAGAAGAGCCTATTCTTAATGTTGTCTTCTTGGTTATTATTTTGGGGGGGCCACACAGACCCGTCAGATTTTTAAGGGGGCCTCGGTGTTACTGAGTTTGGGAATGGCTGCTCTAGACAATCACTTTAAAGAACAAATGTACAATATTGCACAACACCTG